ATTAAGACTTCTGACAACTCTGATTTAGGACCGGTATTGCGTATAGTTGCTAACAAACACATACACACATGCACAAACTCGAGCAAACGCAGCAGGACCAATATGAAAGATAATTAGCCAATCCAGTCTAAATCTATCAATCTAGGTTTTTAATTTTCTTTTGGCTCAATTGAGTCCTAATAAGAGGTGATATAGAGCCGGATAATGTTAACGTGAGACTTTTACAGGAATGAAACCCAGCTCTGATGATGTCCATCATTTAATGGACGAAAGCTGAGCCCGTTTTCCCCCAAAACGAGGGCGGAAGTCGCGAGGACGGCGTCAACATGAATATCGTATGAAAGCCAAACGGTTGCAGTTTAACGAGATTCATCCGTCCTCATTTGGTGAGATCGACCAACGAATCTCTTCCTCATGCACTTCCATTCGAAATGAAAGTTATTCCAACAATCATAAATCTTATTCAGAATAACCTGGAAAAAAGATAATATCAAATGATCCGATTGCTTCCTTCAAGTGGCAAAAAGACTAGTTTATGCTCATATGTATGCGAAGCATGTTTAAATAGGAAAATTATGATAAGAAACCACCAATATTCGTAATTGAGAGCAATTTAATTACGGGTTCAGCAAAGCTAAGGATCCAGTGAAGGATATGATGGCGATTTGGTGATCTTTATTGCAAGTTTGGATGAGGTAATGAGCCTAACAGACGTGTAAAAACGAATTTATTTATATTTAGATCCGACCGCTATCACAATTTGTAAGTCTATCAATCATACATAAGTACTTCCTATTCAACATCCTACCCCCATATTGTACATTCACTTTGTTCCCTAATCAGTCGATTAAACTAAACTCTTATTTTACCTTCTCCAGTTGACATAATATATGTACGCTCGACCATTTCCTCGCGTGTTACGTTGCTGACCGACGCAACTGCCAGCATTTATTTGCATATTTATGTTTACTCTTATTCATCAATGCAGAAGCATCTTGAATCTAGCAGGGTCACATCGGGAGTTGTTGATATCGGTCTAAACAATTCATTCATTCATTCATATATTTATATATATATATATACAAAGATATGATTAAAAATACGAATATTTTATGCTCATGTGAATGTGGGGCGTGTGTGGGCCTAACCTTCCACGTGACTAGGGAGAGGGATTGGGTCACAGAAATCGGGCATTGTGACAAATGGACTGATAATCCATTTGAGATGCATCTACTTACCAGAACTGGATGCACACAGTTTGCTCAGGGAACGCGTGCTTAACCGAGGAGAGGATATGTGAAGCAAATGCCTAATATCCGCAGACATGGGAATAAGGTATGAAGGCATTTTGTATGGTCGCGGTCTCCTTTCGTTGTATAAAAGTTGTTTTACCTTGTTTTCACAACTCGGTCATATTGGTAGGAAGACTTAAAGCAACGCACCTAGTTCGGAGTCCATTGTATGCATGATCATTTCCATAGTCGGACCGTGGACTTGGAACATTCCCAGACGTTTCGCCGGCGTCATATGTCAACTTCCAATTCTGTGAATGTCTGTCTTTGTATGTGTGTGTATGAGAGTTCTTGACTAGTTAGCTTGAATTGTGTTGTGACGATGATATCTTGCTCTGATGATGTTCGTCAAATGACGGACGAAAGCTTAGCACCTTTCAACCGGAATCGAAGAAGATTTACTCTGAAACAGCGTCAGCATGAATGTTCCAGTAAAGCCAAGCGACAGTTGGAATCCGCCGTCGTCTTCTGGTGGAACCGACCTTCAAATCTCTTCACGCAACACTTTCACTCGAAATGGAAGTAAGCTCAACCCTAAGTATTTTCAACCAGAATGATCATTATTCTCCTCATTTCCTGGTCTTGATGTTCAACATCTGCCAGAAACAGGCTCCTTATTATCATAGACTTCATACTCCTGCCTTAACTACAAAAGTGTGGTTGCAAAAGAAATGCAAAAATAAATCCGCATTTGTGGGTTTTGACTCTCACATCACCCTCTTTTCCAGAGCAATGCATTGACACAGCTCGCGAGCGATGGCAATCAATCACATGCAGTAACATGTTATAAGTGTTTTAGGGGAGGATGAGCTGTTCGGTTCACGCTTCATCTGTACCCACTTCACATGTCATCCGCAGCCGCTTAACTTAACCTTTGAGCAAACATTTCGGCAAAGCACAGTACATCCAACTAAAACACGAGACACACCTTTCTTGTCTTCGTGTTTTTGGTGAATTCTCGTTAAGCATAGACGTTGTTTGACCTTGTTTTCGCAACATGCTCATGTTGGTAGGACGACTTACAGGAACGCACCTAGTCCGGAGTCCATTGTCTGCATCATCATTTAAAGTTGAACCGTGGACCTGGTACATTCCCAACCGTTTCGCCGGCATCGTCAGTGATTATCGCCATTCTTAGCACCACACAACCACTCGCCAAACAGACAAGTGAAGCCCATCCTTTGATCAACGAAAGGAGACTGCGACCACACAAGAGGCCACACCATCTTGGTCTTCATACCATCGTTAAGCAGGTTGTCCCGCTCTGACGACCAAAGTTCAGCAAGGATTGATCAGGACTGCAGGGCGGTGCCTCGAGGACCTATTGACACAAATCTAAAACTCACGACACCCTTCCACTCACCTCTTCAAACCAAAAGAATCTCCATTAAAGGAGTCTTAGAAACCCACTTTTTCTAAATCCATTAACTCGCGCAAAATTCCCAGTCGCGACTCCTAGCCACGCTGGGGAGGACAATAAACGGGGAGAGGGAAAGTTTTTCCATAAACATGCGCATTCATGCACTGACTCCTATTCACATCGTGCATGAACCAGTTTGACTGCTGACATGTTCCCTACATGCGCTATTGTCAAATTGAAGTTTCTACCGGTTTCTCCGGTTGACTGTAAAACTGCCTACATTGTCATAATTGCAATTGCGCATGTATTTTCGGCTACTTGTACTCTGGCCGTGTCGTGTCTACATGCCGTTGGTGAATTCACTGCCCAAGCATGTTCGGACTGTTTACCAAAGAAATGGTCACAACGACACTCTGGTCCGCTTTCACGAGGCTGAACGGCATGCTTCGGCACCATTCGACTTCTCTCCCGCCAGGCCTGCTGGTCGGGCGTTCATAACACAAAACCAAACTGTACATAAAGCAAAATAATAATATTTTCCATATTGCTGAAAGGTCTATTGATAATCGGTCTATTTGGGGAGAGGGAGGAGAGGGCGCAGAGATTGCCACAATCCCAAGTACATATATTCGGTACAGCGTAAAGAGAGACAAATGCTTTTAAAGGCCAGTTACGAAGAGATATGACGCCGGGGTCTGCCTGTAGGGTAGAAGTATGCAAGAAATACAATTTCCTGTAGTTGGAACAAGTAGAGCTACCAGTTTATTGAGGCTGTGTCTTGTCTGGGGGCATGCAAAGTGGGCACAGAAATGATACAGAATGGGTTCCTTTTGTCTGATCGCCGGATGCGAATCGGGCGAACAAGAAAGAGGTACAAAAAATCAGTATACACATAAAAACCGTGCTAAATTTCACAGACCAAAGGGTCTTAAATGCTTAAATCATTTCGCCTTGTTCGGGGCAATATTAATCAGATTGTCTGAACCTGGAGTCTCATGTCGCCAGGTCTACTGGGGGGCTCGAGCCAGCTGTTCGTGAGTGTCCGCAGGTCGGTTGCCCAAAAGCTGTGCTGCCAATCGTTGTCGGAGGCGAGGAATGCCAACCTAAACAGAAGAAAGGAGATGAGAGATATGTTGCTAAATAAACACAAACATGCCAAATTTAAATGAAAAATATTTTTGGCGCGAGAATATTTTTTGACATTTTCACTCATTCTTCATTAACAACTTTGCCAGCCTAGGCCACCAAAAATGATGTCACAATTGATGGAAGACCGTTGTCATTAATTGACTTTTACTTGATTTTGTCTGAAAAATAGTTGTCTCATCCCGGCTGGATTGAGCTTTTCACGCCACCTCTTCGCACTAACAACTCTCCAAACAGGACTCGAAAGCAAATATTGCGCTCTAAATGAAAACGAAAAAAGGCTATGGATAGATGTGAAACTAAAAGCAACACAGATCTCTCATAAACCACAGCTTCCAAGAAAAATTTTCTATTTACATCAATCAATTTACTTATATTCGGTAGTATGATTTTGGCATTATCAGTAATATTTGAATAAGAATTTAGTTATATATTCCAGCAATAAAATGAGTAGGCTTTTTGATGTAATTTAATTTAATTGGCCTTGATTCACAAAGGTTTTATAATCTAGGCCGCATACAAATTTATGGATATATGTTATTGAGCTTTTACGCAAGAATTACTCATGATTCCGAAACATAATCATACAGAGAATAAATCAAATCGTCGTTCGAAAGAGATAATTAAATTTAATAAATGTAATTTGCGAGAGATTTAAGTCGCCTTAAAGTTTAGCGAAATTTAGACGTCGTCTTCGGGCGAGATCGACCGAAGAATCTCTTTAATAGATAGTTTCGACAAAATAGAGTAAACACCAAAATAAACTTAATTATTTTGTTGCTTATACGATTTAAAGTCGGATAGTGAAGCTTTTGTCGCACCGATATGACCAAGCTATTCAGCGCAGGTATATCTGATTGACAAGATTCACACTATCCGATCTCGAATCCTACTGGGGGTGTTGATATGAAAATGATTTAAGGTCAAAATTGCTGCCCAGTCAAGAGGGGAAAAAAGAATATCTTTTGAGATGGAAAGCAAAGTGAAATTCAACAGAAGCGATCTTTTCTTCTTTGAGCTTCCTCCTTCCCAGATAGCCCATTTATCCCAACTCCTTCCTTCGCCTGCCCATATTGCTCTCTGCAACTATTTACACTTTCATACATCTATCTATGAAATTATACATCTTCAAAGTACACACATGCCCTCCTGTCATTCAAACTGCCTTCATATGTACAGGCGTTCATACGACTTTCTCGCTACCAATGCCCCCCTCTGTCCTACACGACACTTCACCATTCTTTGCATATGCAAATGCATATATTAAAAACTGGATATCATTATGATTAGCAGGCCGTCCTCCTAGTTGGGAAAACCTGCATCATCGTAGGGCGATATTTTTGCGATTTCGCCAAATTCACTCCCATGCCAATTATTGGATAGAACGCTCCAGAGACGAACCGCAATGTCGACCGGCGTACCGGTATTTCGCAAAGTAGACCTTGTAGGTGATAATTGAAGCCAAGCTTATGACTTGCGGCCAATTCTGGAGGTGTTCTGATTTCCCGAAGGTGAGTTTATTGTTGCCTTGAAAAAGGTCACTTGCAAACTCGTGTCAGCTGTTATGCAACAGTCCGTCCAACTGTATGGGCCTGGGGCAATGTCACTCACAGGTACTTTCCTTTACTTCTTGCTCAAGCACATGAAGACGCGTTTATGCCGGGTTAACTGCATCCACATCGTCAGCATCATCTTACCAGCCCAAGTCGGTAAATGCATTCATTGCATCTTTCTCCTGAAATATGCAGAATAATTCAATTGGATTTGCATACAGCTCCCATTTTTTTACATTTCTTTTACCGCCTCAACCGGAATTGGAGTAGCCCGACAGCATAAGTGGAATATTGCACAGGACTCTGGTCCTAGAACAAGCGCACGCAATCACCTACAGAGTCAATTATGGACAATTTAGTCAGACAGACTGTTGGACAGATAAACCAACAATGAAGAAGTGGGTTGATCTCGTTGTCGCAACTTGGTCTTGTTGTCAGGGCGACTTAGTAGCATGCAGCCAGTCCGAAGAGACAATTTCGTAGCTTGGTGCGGAGAATGGCAAAACTCACTGATGCTGCCGGCGAAACGTTTGAGAATGTATCAAGTCCACTGTCAACTGCTGGGAATCATGACAACTACGATGGCAGACGACTTCGGACTAGGTGTGTTCTGCATAGTTGCCCTGACAACAAGACCAAGTTGCGACAACTAGGTCAACCCACTTCTATCAATCGAAAAAGAGACTGCGACCATACCAGAGGACACAACATCTTGCTCTTCATAGCTTCAACAATGAAGACTTAACATGAGAGTGATAAGACTTGCATATAACACAGAATGCCCCATGTTGCAAGATAACAGCTTTTCGGCTACTTTCGGTTGGTGTCATATTCAAAATGATCTGAGAATATCGAAACTTATACATTATAGAGGCAAGCAACATAGTCGACAAATCCATTTTAAAATATGATAAAAATGTTAATATGATACATGTATATACTTTGAATAAGAAAAACTTATTGGGAGAAATAACTAAATTAAATTCAATGACATTTTGAGCCCTACTCAATTTATTATGAGACATTTCAATTATCGCCACCAGCTGTAGCATCTTTTGCGACATAAATTGAAGCCCAGTTCTTAGAAAATATCTACTACTGGCAACGAAACAAATTCAGTATGCGTCTGTACTGCATTAGTTTTGCCAAATATAGCCACTTCTCAGCCTACAAAGCAGTCTTAGTAACACATAAGTTCGCATAAAATGGAAAAAAGTGAGTCTAATGATCCCAAAATGTCGTAATAAACGCATCAAGGCCCACCGACCACATGGGAGTATGCTCCATAGCAAATTTAATTGACGTCTTCTATCAAATTGCCTCATTGCCCCGGCCAATGACGAGTATACTTAAAGGCTTCAGATCATACGTAATCAGCGCTTCTACTCCTTTATGGGATAAATAATATAGGAGTCCTCAATTGTGGCAAGTTCTCTAAGTTTGGGGATCTCCTGAATGTTGTTGGTACCGAGAAGGGCTCGAAATGACAGATAAGCTAGAAAAGGGTAAATAGTTTTATAATCTAAAATAAGAATGGTATTTACCATAGACGACATAGGTGATGGAAAAGTGAAAATTTAATTGTCCCACACTCATATTAGTAGGCCATTCTAAAGATATTCTCATTCCAGCTGGAATGGACCAGTTTCGATATTGCTC